ACATTTGGAAATATGGAAAATTAACCACACGTCAAGAAATTCTATGAAACATGCGTTGAAATCAATACACACAATAATCTGCGTATTAATACAAAGTAGGTGCAGATAGTGTATGAACTGGCCCCTTGCAAGTCACTGTAAAGCTCACATCTTCAGTAAGCTTTTACAATTCTGAATGGAAGTAGAATGTGTGGCGCATCCCAAAAAAGATTCATTAACGGCAAATCTTTCATCTCCGTATTGTAATCCAAAGTAGGCCTGCAGAGTGGAGAACATGCGCTTTTAGAAGAAGAGGAAGCAGCCACTAATGGAGGGACACTACTAACCCAAATGTTTGTAAAACTGAGCTAAAATTAGCAAGAAATACTGCAGGCCATTACCGAAGTCGGTTACGAGGAAGAATCGGAAAAATATCAGCCGCTGTTCTCGGTGAGTGCAGAGACAAAATTCCATTCGGAAGCCAGGACCATCGTAATGCCAGGGACTGAACACAGAAATAAATTAAACCACTCACCGATTTGGAGAAATCATCAGGATCGATGACGAATGAGAAAAAGTCTACAGACGGTTTCTCTCTCCAGGCTGCCTTCAACGCCTTTCGTACCTTGTCCAACTAAATCGATTACTTTCACAATAAGCTGAGTAGAACTGAATGAATTAACCACTGTTTTGCTCCGAACACTTTTGAGGATGTTCTTCCATCTTCCAGAAGCTGTCAAAAACAAAGTCTATTTAATTGAAAAAAGTGAAGTACCTCTTGAGCAACGGAAACTTCATTGTCGATGCTTACAGTCTGCTTCGAAGAAAGCACAACTGCGGCCTCTTGAGTATCCTTGCCTCTTCTCAAGCGTTCTTTCTTCGCAACCTGCGATGGCGTAGTATCATATGAGACAACCGAACGCCTAAAATTATGACATAATATCCTGCCCTGGTCAACAATCTCGCCATCCCCTTCACGTCCTAAACAGCACAGAACATTCGCGGTATAACGAGTAGTCAGAGCAGAGCAAGAGTATTACAACTGCTAGGACATTGAAACCATTCTAAATCGCAACATAACGCAACCTTTATACTTCGCGACTCGAGTGATTCAACCACGCGACAGGTGCCGACCGCGCTCCTCCGCTAGTCGTTTGACCACTACAAATGGTCGACAAAAGTTCTATTCTGAATGTGATCGGAACTGTCAGCCGCAGCCGTCGCACTGTTCAGTCCGCCAGCTCGCAGTCGCTGCTGTGACTCAAATCGCACGGCTCTTCAGTCGCAGTCGCAAAGTAGGACGCCATCTGCGACGCAAATTCAACTTCACAGAGACTGTAATTGAAGGACATCATATGTTTACTATGTTCCAGATCGCTGCACGCTTCCGACCAATCCAAGCTCCATACCTGATCACCGACTTTCCTGCAACAAGCGAGAGAAAGTGACGCAAGCGCAAGTCAGCTTCCTGCCCTCGCTCCTCCCCCTTTCTCCGGTAGCAGCCGATACAGCTACATCAAAACTTCGAGCAAGACATTCTGAAACTCTATTATCGTACCTTAGGCCCCTGCACTTAAAGAACTCCATACGCCTCCTGACCTTGCGCGTACATCTCTGTGTCCTCCTCTCTACATTCCCAACATGATGGGCCGACTCTTCGATGCGACTCAAGATTTCTATATCGTCTTTTTTAATTATATGGCACTTTTCCTCCGCCACTTCAAAGCTACCGGGTGCGTTGGGAGGCTTAATGACACATGCATCTTAACGAATTGACATCTGATAAACTCAAAGTATTCGCAGAACACCACCTACATTAACTAAGATCGAAATGCAGGGCAACATTTGGACGCCCTGTATCTTTTCGGTACTGCGTAACTGCTAAAAGTGACCTCATAGACCTTCATTTTAGCTACTGCAAATTCCTGAGCCACGAATATCCATTAGACAAACCCGATTTGAAAAAAAACGTTGCCGCGACTTAAAGATTGCCAATATTTCATGTCTTATCTCGCTTTGAAGTTTCCGGCCAATCATATAAAATAACGAGCTAAAGGCTAATGCTCCACCTCCATAATATGGCGTTAACCGTGGTTCCAAACACCAAAAGGACAATACGGCAAATGACGCAAAAGCGATGAAAAAGGAGAGCAAACCTGTAAAACTGTTCCATACAGAACCCCGCACTGAACCGCGTTTGTACGTGCATAAAGCGAAGAATGGGCGTGGTCGGACGAGCCCTTTCCTGCTTGCATCAGCCTTTCTCACTGTAGAGCGCCGCTTCAGACTCCGATCGCGCATCCGGACCGCGCGATTACAGCGATCGCGCGATCGCGCTACTGTGGGTGAAATTACACCGGGAGGGGGGTCATGTTCGTTCATGTTTATTGTTCCTGTTCTTTTTTTTTTCCTTTTCCTTCTTTCTTCCTTTGTGTACATAACGCCCTCCTAATTTTAAGGAACGTTTCGAAATATCTTTGAGTTATTTATTATTTCCTATGTAAAACAGCTACTTAACATATTCAATATACTAATTGTTGGAACTGAGAATTTTGCATTTGAGTACGTTCAGCGGCATAGTAAATTGAACATCTTGTTCCAAAAGTAAGACACGCAGAACTTCCAACAGCGGGTGATGTTGTTTCTGTCCCTTTGCCAGTCCTCCATATATTCACTACTTTTTCACATTGTGTTTGCTTTGTTTGTTCTGCCTCCTCCAGGTCTATACACAACCTTTCCTTTCGACGGTTTCTGCAAACGTCAGTATTGCGAATATGAACACGGAATAAAAGACATCAAAAAAGGTCGAACTTACTTTTATATCGTTTTTGGAACTGCCTATTGGAGGCAGGATACAGCATCGTGATGTGAGAAATGGTGATATTAGTACGACTCCCTTCCCAGAACTTTCTTGGGTGTTTGTATGAATCAGTTGAACATAACGAACAGACCCTCCCGGTGTAATTAACCCACGAGCTAGCGCCGATAGCGCGATCACAGCGATCGCGCGATCGCGAAGTCTGAACGCGCTCTTACCTCACTCTCACTATTCGAAGGAGAAAGTGCTAGTAGCGAAACAACCGCACAGCCAGGTTTCAGAAAAAAAATGAAAATCGGGCGTCACAGTGGCAGTGGGCGGGCCGAGCGTCGCTTTTCTGACGTATTTTTAAGCTGCGCGCAAAATGCTGCAGCGTAGGCTACCGGGTCCAATGGAAGGCGCTCGAGCGTCAAGTGAATGCGGGACGTATTAAACCTGGAGGAAATGCAGAACTAAAGCTTTGCCCGTTGGTGTGGTGGGCTGCTGAGCAGTAGGTTTGATCACCTTAAGAAATATCACCTTCAGAAATAGGGTTATACCGAGTCATATAAAATATAACTAACCAGGTGCGTCGCGAAAGACGTTTGGCTGTAAACTATCCGTTCCGAGTCGTGGGGAAAAAAAACTTTCGGGGGAAAAAAAAAATGACTTCATTTTGGGCTTCAAGGAGAACGTTGGCCATTGACAACAACGAGTCTGCGTCAGCTGCGAGCTCCTTTCCTCCTGCACCCACCTCAAAATGGGCAAAATAAATAACGATTCTTTCTAAACAATAAGCTTGAAAAAATTACACTCTGGTAGGAGCGATCAACATCCTCGAGAGACTTTCCGAGATGCTCAATCAGATGAGCACTTTCCTTTCTTTCAACGTCACCTTAAACATGAACTAAGCATTATCAAGGAGCAAGGTTGCCAATGAGTTCATACTTGTACCTGCAAATTGACTACAAATCTCATGATACGCTTCCCGCAGAGACGCACGTTTTAGCGAATTGTTGAGACCGGGACTCGGCGCTCGCAGCTACATGAGTTCAGGGTAAGTGCAGCCTTCTTGTATACTGAACATTGCCTACTGCAGTGGAAGCTTTTGATATTCAAGCAAGAAAACTAAACTCGCATAGCGAAACTGAAAAAATTACGCGCTCCAATGTAACGGGCTGCGGGGCGGGGGAGGCTTAAGCCTGTCGCTGCGTACGAAAGCGCGTGTGCACGCCGGATGGGTTTGGCAACGAGTTGTCAACTCGTTCTCACACCAGGCCTTGAAAAGCGAGCCACAGCCAGCCGCCAAAACCTTATCACATTATTCGTGTCATCGTTTCTACCATTGTATTCGCACAGCTCACTTTTGGCACCGTGGCTCCTTCACCCCCTGTCTGACAACCCCTTCATACGCAGCGAACTAGTGTGTAGAGAAGACGCATTCTCTGGGAACAATCCCTCAGCGACTTTGGTCGCCAGCGCTCCGAGCCTGAGCCTTCCTGTGGAGGGGATATAGAGGAGTGATCAAAATCTCCTCCCCCCCCCAATCACGTTAGGCCAGAAATTACAACCTTTCTCAGTATTTTCCACAGCACAAGCAAACGATGTAAGCCACATTTGGATTCTCCGTATTGCCTGTTTAAAACTACAATTCACGCTGGTAGTGTGGGCGGGGACATGCTGTCTTTTCACTGCCTCCCCCCCCCTCCTTACATTGATAAAGAAGCTCTTAAAGGCAGTTGGCACGATGATTGGGTGCTCGGCCTAAAATGCTAGTAGGGCGCTATATAGTGGGGAAATGGCGAAAGAACGGAGTGAAACGGTCAAAATCCTGCGAAAAAGAGCCTCCGTTCTCACTGTGTTAGTAATCAATTTTGGACGAGTTTCCCGTAGGCATCTTGCCAATAACCGCTACCGAAGGTACGGCTGCATATGTGTACTCATATATCCATGCAGCATCACGGCCGCTTCATACCAATCCCTTCGCTTCATAATTTGCTTAGCAAATGAATCGATTAGAGCGTCAGGAACGGTCGTCCATTTGTGGGCGGGCGTGGCGGGCGTTTGGGTCGGAATGTTGTGGCTTGATAGGGCCCTTATAAGGGCACCTTCCTTGGAAAAGGCATTATGCAGCGCCTGCTCAGGGTCGCGGAATTCGTCCTGCCAGGCGTATTAATCCTACTCGTCTTGGGGATTTATCGTGCCAACTGCCTTTAAGTGAGGGAGGCGCCATGGATGGATATCCCGCCCATACGATCAAATCTCGAGGACTGCTTTCAAATCATAAGTGATGCAGCACATTTTGTTCCGGCGACAATAATTGCTTCCAAAAACTTTCGATTAGGATTTTCCTTGCTAGAAGTTAAGCTGCTTCAAGTAATTCACAGCGTCAGTTGATATTAATGTAATGACCAATACGCACTAAATATGAACCAGAACCTGTGTACTAGTAAGTCCATCCTCATCGGCATCATCTGAGTAATCTTCGTCGTAGCCATTTTGGTTGTTGCTATGCCTCAACGGTCGCGG